GTGTGTGTGTGTGTGTGTGTGTGTAGGGAGCTGGGAGGAGCAGGGTGAACCATGGGCCGTGTGTGTGTGTGTGTGTGTGTAGGGAGCTGGGAGGAACATGAGCAGTGAGGAGCTGTGCCACGTTGAGAATCATTATTGTGCTACGATTCAGACCACGATGCTCAGATTCAGTACAGCTGGAATTGCCATACAATTCATCACCCATCCTAGGACACTCGTGCGAGTGAAAGGGGCATGTTTAACATGCATGCCAAGATGATAGGAGTTGTCTTCTTGGCAAACCAGGACACACGAGCAACCTAATAGAGAATCCAGTACACAAAAGAAAAGCAGCGAATTTCAGTGGTGAGTTCCTAACAAGAGGAGTTGTACCGGCTAAAAAAGAGGAGAGTCATCCTCCTCCACTAATTTGTGGCAATCACAACAAACATGAAAGATAAATAGAAAAGCAAGAAAAATTTCCATCAATATGGATGATCTCTGGCAGCAACTTACTTTTTTCCCCATAACCAACTAAACTACTACTCTACTAAAATAAAAACGAGGAAAATGTAAACTTGTTCTTTTCTATTTAGTCTGAAATTAAAGATTAGAAGAGGGGCACATGCAATCTCTGAGGGAACGCACACCACATCCTATGACAGGTGGGATCCACTGCAAGGATGAGAAAATAAAGCACCTGATGTGTAGGCTCCTCAGTCTCACACTTGAGGTAACACGGTGAGAAATGAGAACAAACAAATATCCTCTTTTAAAAGACTTACTCTTAGAAATGGAAGAAAATATTACAATAGCTCTGATTCTCAGACTCAAAATAATTTTGGAGTGCATGACTTCTATGAAAAATGAACACTCTAAGAGCAGGAAAAAAGGCCTTCAGATAAAAAATATAATTACCAAATTAATAATGCGGTAGAGAAAGTGAACGGCTGTTTTAAATCAACTGAAAATGATATCAGTGAAACAAACACCACGTAGAGAAATTCTTACTTGTCTCAGAAGAAAAGAATGAGGAGATGAAGATGGGGACAGAGGAGAGATCAGTCAGAAGCAAGTGACAATGTGGGACATACATTTATAATACATGTGATGTTTAATATTTCAATATAAAAAGTGAAATTTAAAATAACCAAAAAATAACTGAAAATATTCAATCTCAAAAGTAATCAGAGCCACCTAATAAAGCAATGAAATACCAGACCTGGATATCAAAAGTCATAGTGAGGATTTGGAGAAATGAGCTTTCTCTCTCCCAGGAAGGCAGAGATTTTGGCCTGTTCTACTGGTATATGTGTAACTACCACCAAAAACTGTATCTGGCACATAGTAGGTGCATCATAAATGCCTCTTGAATAAAAGAATCAATGACTTTCTGGGACTGTAAATCAATGCACATTTATAGCGATAATCTGGCAATATCTATCTTGAAAACACTGATGCTTTTGCCCCAAAAACTTCTGATGGAAATGTATGCTAATGAAAAAAACTGGACAGTTGCATAAATCCAAACAAAGATATTCCTACAGCATTGCCTATAATTGGAAGAATTAAATTAAAAAAATTAATAAATCTACCTGTGCCCCAAAATAGAGTGTTTAAAGAAACTATGGCAGCTCCATGTAATATACTACTGCACAGCCATGAAAATGAGTGATGTGGTTGCACTTATTTACAAAAATAGATATACAAATGCGTTGAGGGGAAAAGCAAATAAGGAAGAGTACTATAGTGTGATTTCATCATCATAAAAAAATAGAAATGCATATTTTTGTTTGTCTGTTTTTTGTGAGGAAGATCAGCCCTGAGCTAAGATCTGCGCTAATCCTCCTCTTTTTGCTGAGGAAGACTGTCTCTGAGCTAACATCTATTGCCAATCCTCCTCCTTTGTTTCCCCCAAAGCCCCAGTAGATAGTTGTATGTCATAGTTGCACATCCTTCTAGTTGCTGTATGTGGGATGCGGCCTCAGCATGGCGGGAGAAGTGGTGCGTCGGTGCACGCCCAGGATCCGAACCCAGGCCACCAGTAGCAGAGCGCGCACTTAACTGCTAAGCCACCGGGCCGGCCTGAAATACATATTTTTAAAAGCATTATACATAACATGGGAGAGATTACACACCAATAGGTTTACGGCAGATAGCACTGGTAGGATTATATCTAATTTTTTTAAATTATTATTTTGGCCCACCTGTATTTTCTATTACTTTCTTCAAGAAACATATTTTATAATTAAAAAGCTCAAAACAGTTACAGGTCTTTCGTATCTGAGGAGTGACAGAAATCTGAATCTTTGGCCAGAACAGAAGCATCAGCAGACATCCTCACACACCGGTGGGTCCGTTTGAAACTCTTTGTAAGGGAAAGATGAGAGGGGCTTAATGAGCTGTATGTCCAGAGAGGACAGGAACCACTTGAAGAAGGAATACTTGTGACACGTACGCACTTGAACAAACAGGGCTGTTGTGGGGTCCTCTTTTTAGTTAATCCAGACCCCATGGAGCATAAAGACAGAAGAGGAAAAATACCAGTAACCAACGGAGACAAAAACAAACTGCCTAGTTTATCATTTGTTTTTTCTTTTGTTCCAGTATTTGTTTAAATTTAATTCCAAATTACACATGTTGTAAAAGTGATACAAATATTACCAAGCACTCAGAGTCTAGCTAGTTAAGCTCATTATTTTAATAAAGATATATAATTGACAAAAGCAGAACTAATACTGTGCCCCTGGTTGCCCACACCATGAACAGTCTAGTTAATATGCCTGTGCAGTCGTAAGCCAGGTGTCACTGACTCCCAATCCCCCAGGCCCCAAGATGTGAGTAAGCATCACCGCCTAGAAGGAGAACTGTGCCCGTTCAATGCAGTGGTGCCCGCTGTCCCGGCCACTGCAAGGCCCAGCACACAGCCGGCGGTCAGTGATATAAGCTGAACTAAATCTGGAGGGGAGCCAGCCAACTGAGAGAAAGGATCTGAGGGTCAGGGTCCCTCTCTCAGATCCCCAATCCCACGTTGGTGAAACAAAATCCCAGAAGCTCTGAGAACTTCCTGTGCAAATTCACCTGGGGGCAAAACTCGGGCTGATCAGAATTTATTGGTAGCACACCTGGACCTAACGAGGCCTGGAGATGTGTATGGCTCAACTTCGTTTACGGTGAAAAGCCAGACATTTCTCTGCAGAGAGAGGTGTGTGATTGCGGCCTGTTGTCCCAGAAGCAGCCATGCAGGGTTTTGTGAAACATACAATTTATATACTTTTCTGAAATCCTAAAAATTCTGGAACATATCTAGCCCTCCCAGTTCCTGCTCAAGACCTGTGGGCCAGGCCCTTTGCACGTCAGCCAGTAGCACTGTGTCCCCTTTCACCAAGGAGACTCAGCAGGCCTGGGGAGGAGCCAGGGCGCCCAGAGACCCAGAGGCTGGAGGCCAGGCCTGCCTCATCGGCCCTAAGCATCTGCTGTGAGACCAGCCTGAAAGGAACAAGAGCTTTTCAGAGCTCACTCTCATGAATGCAGCCTCCAACATAATATACATTTGAAATGTTTATTTGAAATTCTTAAAAGTAGCAAAGTTATTGCTATTCATAATCTGTCCCGAGGTAATTTTGAAGAAAAAGGGAAAAAAGGGTCTTACCTGAAGAAGTAAGCTTCGGCCCTGTCATAATGGCCAGGTGTTAGTTTGAGCGGAGGGTAGTCAACGGCCACTGGCCTCACCATGAACAAGCCCATGGCCAAGGCCACAAAGAGCACGGGCAGCAGCAGCCCCGAGAGCGTGCCTCTCCAGGCCCGGCGTGCGTGGCGAAGCCGCGTCACCAGCAGGGCGGCCATCTGGGTGAGGAGCAGCCGGCAGCCCCGCATGGGCGGCGTGCTGGCGGGAGCCGCACCTGCAGGGACAGGAAGGCGCAGCAGGCTGAGTCCACTTGGGGTCGACGCAGCTTCCCCAACACCGCCCTTCTGCAAGGCCCTTCGTGGATTTACAGATGACCCTAGGGCAGCTGTTAGCACGGGGACACCACTGGTCCAGACTTCCCACACTAAAGAAGAACACCCTACAAAGTTATACACAACAGGACGTCTCGTGACATTAAATGGCAAGCACAGAGTTCCACTGTGGATCTCACTCTGCTCTTGCTTCTGAAGGGAGACAAGCAGATGTGAAAGCACAAAGAGAAGGGGCCTTCCGTTTATTTTTATTGATTAAAATAAAGCCTGCTATATCAGCATGGATTCTAACATAAAAAGAACAGCAAGACAGTCAGATGACCCAAGTGCACGGATGGAGGTGGGTGGCAGGGGTGCAGAGAAGGGCGCTGCCCCCCATTTAGACCTTCCGGCCCAGGGCACTCCTCCCTCTGCTTCCTCCTTCTCATAGCGTTTGTTTCTGTTCTTACCCCGAGGTCCTTCCTGAGGAAGCCCCAGGTCACATCCGGGTCAGGATTCCGGAGGCACCCGCCACGTGCCTCCGCTCAGTTCCCTCTGCCCCGAGCCCCTGCACCCTCATCCCCTGCCATGTCCAGGGCTCCCCAGATGAAGAGGAGCTCCACGTGTCTCTAGCTCTAACTCAGCCCCCTTGGTCCCCGAGGCCTCAGCAACCCGGTCCTCCCTTCCTTACACGCCAAATCTGAAAACAGCCTCAGCGAGCAGAGGCCAAAAGGTGGAAGTGGACAGCACAGCCTGAGTCCTGCACCACCCATCTCTTGGCCACCCTGCCAGGCTCCCTCTGAGCGTGGTCATCTGGGGGATCCACAAAAGTCTCCACAACAAACCTGCCCCAGTTCCGGCCAAACAGCGGGGAGAGCACCTTCTACGTCCAGTGTGAGGATGGGAAGTCAGGAGCAAAAGAGAGTCAGCCCCAGGGACAGCAGCCTCAATCCACGTCTAAAGGACAGACAGCGCTTGAGCAGTCGGCCATGCCCATAGTTTTTTCTAGTGAATCCTTCTCAAGTATGCCAGAAAATCCAATATAAAGTACTTTACAAGAAAAGTGGCCTTATAAAAGACAGATGTGTTCAGTTTGACTGTCCTACTTGCAAATATCAAATAGAAATACGGTTAATAAAAGAACAGTGAATAAGTTTAAGGTCCCCAAAGAATACATTTTTAAAGACACTGTACCATTTCGAAAGCAAATTATTTGTAATAGCATTGAGAACAGAGCTGTATAGGCAGAGTTGGGGATAAAAACGCATTCTGAAATGACTGCCTCACTTGTCGGATATTCCCTGAATGCCCCATATGTGGTAGGCACTGCGTTATTCGGTTTCTGTCCTCAAAAAAGGCATAGCATAGGGATTGAGATAAAAATGCAAAGAAATAACCCAACACAATGTAATCAAGTGTAATAATTGATGTGGGCAGAGCTAAAGTGTTGGTACCAAGGAGGAAGTCTCGGGATGTTTAGGGGAAAAGTAAGAAAATAGTCACAGCAGTGAGGACATTTAGACAGAATCATTTAGACCTGTATTAGGAAAACCCAGTTCAGTCTACCTCCTGTGTAGAGAACAACCAGTTCTTCCCTACTCTGTCTCTGTCTCCTGCGTGTCTCCTTTACCTTCAGAGAGAACACTTCACTTCTGACATGTCTGATCATTAAATGTGTGGGGGTTTTCCCCACACCGAGCAATTCTCCATGACACCAGCTGGGTGTCCTACAATTCAATTCATTTCTGACACTATCTACCCAGATATAGTGTCAGATTCCACAGGTTAAGGGTTCAGTCCCACAAGACTGCACCCCCTGCTTCAGACGCCAGTTGCAAGTTCAGGCTGTCACCTGTGCTTCTGACTGACCAGCTACAGATCAGAGGTTCCCATGACCCTCACCTTGGTTTTGATTAATTTGCTAGGGAGGCTCACAGAACTCGGGGAAATATTTATTATGTTTACTAGCTTACTAACGCATATGATAAAGGATACAGATGAACATCCAGATGGAGGAGATGCCTCGAGTGAGGTATGTGGGAAGGGCGCAGAGCTTCCATGCTCTCTCCAGGCACCCCTCTCCCACCACCTCCACGTGTTCACCAACCCAGAAGCTCTCTGAACCCCTACTACTGGGATTTTATGGAGGCTTCCTCACATAGGCATGACCAATTATTAAGTCCACTTTCAGCCTATCTCCCCTCCCTGGAAGATGAAGGGTGGGGCTGAAAACCCCAAGCCTCTAGTCATGGCTTGGTCTCTGTGGTGACCAGCCCCCCCATCCAGGAGCCCACCCAGAGTCGCCTCAATAGAACAAAGATGCTCGTAGTGCTCTTACCACTTAGGAAATTACAAGAGATTTAGGAGCTCTGTGTCAGGAACCAGGGGCAGAGACCAATGTATATTTTCTATTATCTCACAAGACCCAATAGAGGTTTGCAGGCAATCAAGAAAATTTGGACGTTTAAAGACTAGAACATGAGATATTCACAAGCATGACATATTCTGTGAATGACTGTGTGAGGGATATGTGTGGCAGAATATGTGGGGTAAGTGGCAGGATATGGAGGTTAAAGGTGTTAGAAACCAACTCATGAAGTCCTTACCAGCCATTTGAAGGAGTAGGGATTACAGGTCTTATAGGACTAAAGATTGCCGCGCGCAGCAGTCACCTGATGAGACGTGTGTCATAATGCAGAGCAATGTTTTATTGTATGAGCAGTGCTCTATTGAGGGTGGGCGTTGCATGGGGAAAGCAGTGGTTTATACACCAGGCTACATATCAAATTCACCTGGGGAACTTTTGTGTGTGTGTGAGGAAGATCAGCCCTGAGCTAACATCCATGCCAATCCTCCTCTTTTTGCTGAGGAAGACTGGCCCCGGGCTAACATCTGTGCCCATCTTCCTCCACTTTATATGGGACGCCACCACAGCATGGCCTAACAAGTGGTGCGTTGGTGCGCGCCAGGGATCCAAACCCAGGCCGCCAGCAGCGGAGCACGCACACTTAACCGCTAAGCCACGGGGCCGGCCCCACCTGGGGAACTTTTTAAAAATTCTGATTCCCACGAAAGCCCAGAAATAAACCCACACATCTATGGACAGCTAATCTTTGACAAAGGAGCCAAGAACATAGATTGGGGAAAAGAAAGTCTCTTCAACAAATGGTGTTGGGAAAACTGGA